AGGGAAAGATTGATAACTAAGTCTTTGTTTATCCAATCAACACCTAACACATGCAGCAGGAATGACCCAGTATCTATTCCGGATACATTGAAAATCCTACTATAATAATAATAATATATTTCATACAACATAAGTTACATGAAAACAAACCAGTTTACAGGCCTGATCATTTTGGTAATGTGAACTGACTGTTATGTGCAATATGAAGCTATACAATGGACACCGTTCTTTCCGGTACATAAAAGCTGCGTCTAGAGTAAGGACGTCAATGCTCTGCAGACAGCAAAGAATGAAACAGATAAACACCATCTCACAAAGAGACAAGGAAATTAAGACTATATAAGGGATATCTCAAAGTTGTGTAGTTATCTTGATATGACTATGGACAATACATTATGTCGGAAACGTAATCCGGTAAACAATACTGTTACACTGTGTGACAAATCTGATAAATCAATAAAAATGGAATGATACCAGGGTAGGTTCAACGGGAGTACAAGTTGTTTTTGTATGCATAAAGGGGGCCTGAATTTACGGTTGGGACCGGCCGCTCTAAAGTTTTGAAAAGAAGACTCTGTCAAATGCCTAACAAATGAAACAGATACAAGTGGTGACACGGTAAGGGAGTTTAAAATACTGAGGAACATGCATTTTTCTACGCGTATGCATCCAGAGGAAACTCCTTCTGGACTTTCGCCCTCTTCTGTCTGCTTGATGCTGTGTTTTTCTTTCTTTCCCATCGTAGGCAAACCCCTTAGCCTTGACAGATGCCTTGGCTTCAAAAGAAATAAAATTCCTAAGGGGACAAACCTGTGCTAAAACTGTGTTGTAGTATATATTCACCCCACTCACGACAGCAAAGTAAAATGTGTGCTTAAGAGAATGATATTCTCCGAACTACAACCTTGTAATGATCAAGACCTGGGATTCATTACGAAGGGGAACAGGGAAGCGTTATACCTGCTCAACCATAAGGTTGTTGTACCCGCTATTAAAATGGCAGTCAAAAGTTTTGGGATGCCCACTAGATGAGCTAACCTACCACGTTTTTATGCTGCGTTTGAAATAAGTAGATACTTGGCCTTCGGCTGTAGTATCCAGTATTGTTATCGGTCTCCGACGACGAATGGTATACGAAGGAATGGCATCCGTAGTTCTGCATTCATTAGGGCGCAGAAATAATAAACCGCTTACATGTATTCACGCACAAGCTTTTCATCACCAATGAAAGGCAAAATAAAAAAACATCACGATAGAGGTATTAGCTTCAAGCCTTATGTTTTTCCCCAGGCAGTTCCCGCAAAACCAGAGTGCATACCCTGGCTGCTTTGTTAATGAAAAAGAAACGCTTCGGATTGACCGTGGTATCAAGCCGCGCATACCTGTTCTGTTGTTATCCTGCTTTTTATTGACATGCGATGCAGGCCTTCCAGTAATTAAGACTTCTCACCCTTGAGCACCGCGTAATTTTTATGTGAATTTATTCATGTCTGTAAAAATGGTGTGCCCGTGCGCCCGGGAACAAATATCTGTTGATACTCTATTCGCCTCTTCCAGAGAGCTTTTAGTCATAGCATGTTGCATCTGGAGGTGTAGTCTAGACTGCAGCCACCCAACAGCATTCTAAATGTAAAGTTGGGCTGTATCTCTTCGATCTTCAGTTTATCGTCCATACGGAAACCCTAACAATTAACGGGCGGTGTTCTGAGATTGAACGAACGCATGCTTTAGAGAGTAGAAACATTGGCTTCGTGTGATGGAAACTATGAATTATACACCCTAGGAGTCTATGTAACTTAGTTCTGCCCGATACGTCGAAGTATAAAACAAGGACTATTTCCGTGCCTCACAACTACTGGTAACAAGGCTAAGTGGGTCGAAATGACACGTAATGCTTGATCTTTTCCCTGAAGGCCGTGTCGGAGCTTTTTTGAAATTTTCTTCAAGAAGGTATTCAGACATGTCGCCTCTTCCATAGCTTCCCATGATTCGCGATGGATCGAGCTTATATGAAGGCGCCTGCACTTGCCGACACTGGCCTTGTCCCCAGATTTATAGTGTAGAATTACAAGGCTGGTTCCTACTCAGCAGGACAGTTCAAGTACTGAAGGCTTTACGACCGCTATCAATTCGGTGATGCCTGTAAATCAGCTTCTCTCACGTTAAACTCCTAATCCGGGAGTAAAATATTTATTTAAAATTTGACCCGATATGTTTGTCAGGTTGCTGGCGATTAAGAAATTGTTCAGCGGATTGCTAACCTAAAACGTAAGCTGCACGCCCTAATTTTGACATGCAGTCGACTTCATATTTGGGAGAAATTGATGGAAAAGAAGTTACCACGTGGAGATGTTCCAAACATTTTCATTTCAGCTCTGTGTGCTCGCTTACATAATCCGTAGCTGCTTGCCCGTGAGAATTGAAGTAGTTGACCGGATGAAAATAGTGCCGTGCAGAGCCTCGATAGAGGAAATAAGATTTACCTTCAGTTGTGTCACCTAAGGTGACTGCAGCTTAAGGGATATGTATCTGTGTGTGTAATCCCGCCTACATTCACATCCCAGTAGGCTAGGCGTGAAATAACTCCGGAAGCTTTCTGTCCCAAATTGGTCAATAACCCGGCTTCTGCTTAGGATAAATGAGCAGTGTTCCAGCAGTGATCGCACCCAAGTCTTGTAGAGTAGGAGTTCAGCTTCGTGGCTGCCGAAGTTGAGGATTATGTAGCCCAAAAGAATTCTTGAATTTCGGGTCTGAGTTGCATCGTGTACAGTGAATGTAAAGTGTCTAGAACACCCCAGACCCAAGTCGACAACACTTTGGAGGCTAGGTGGCTCCACAGACTGCAGGCCTAGTTACGTGGTGACGGTGGGTATGCCACGGCCTATCCAGCCTCACTCGTCCATGGTAGACCAGGGCTCCCTTGTAGTTGACCGGTTGGTTACCTAGTCTGGTGGCTTCTGTGTCAATGTTTAGAAGTGGCTGAAGCCATCAACCGGGAGTCTGTAGACTACCTTAACGTCAATGTCAAAAAAGAACGGTTTGTTGTGTTCAGAGCAGCTACGGAGGCCGATGATGAAAGGGATGAACAACAGAGGACACAACCCTGGATTACACCAGATGTTGCAGCCGTAGGTTTTGAACATTGGGCCCGATTCTCGCCACCTGTGAACGGTCGCTAATGCAGGATGTGACCCAGCCTAGCCAGGAAAATTCTGTTTCCTGAGCTTTGAGTCTTCACAGTGGTAGATGATAGTCAGCGCTGTCAAATCCTCCGGGGATAGCAAAATAAGCAGTGGTCACGGCTGTTGGCTATGTATTTGAAGGGGTCAGAGTGACAGGTTGTACAATAACGTGCTGACCGGGAGGTGATAACCGCTTTCTAGCACGCGTTGTAGGACAATTTCCTCAACTACTTTCCCCATGATTTCGGAGGCAACGGGTGTGGTATTCACTCGCCGGTCGTTATCCGCTTCATTTTCTGCGCCAGACTTATGCTTAGATGAGATGAGGGATGTCTTTCACATATCGGGGTTCCTAGAGGTTTGAAAAGAAGGAGGGTATTGCTTAGGCAACAGTTTTGAAATATCAGGGCCACCAAGTTTGAAGAAATGGGATGATACCCAACCTGTACCTCCGCTGCTGGGGCGGTTGAGTATTCCATCAGCCAGATTAATTTGATCTCAAGGCAACTTGAGGGTGTGAGCTCGCCACTGGCAGTAAGGTAGAGAGGGAGTCTATTGGGAAGTTTCACGAAAGTCAGTGATAGGGGAATGCGAATTTCCCGTCATGATGGGGCTGTAGCCTGCCGAGCGGCTGCCAGAAAAGGAATACACATGACGTTGATTTGCTGAGGCCGCTGGAATATCCTGCCTTCCACAAACTGACAACAGGGGAGGCATGAATGTGCAGCGCTGAGCCGACAGCTTTGGACCAAGTCATGTCTCCTCCGAATTCCCTCATGTGATTTTTTTATTTCTGATTCATCCACCAGAAGAAACAAACATGTTTTGTCCACTACCTCCAATATTGACGTTTTTTTATCTCTCTGGGTGTCTTAGGCCTCCAGTTTTAGTGGCTAGGCTTCCCTATCGGGTGGAAAAGCGAAGTGTGGGTTCTTATATGAAAAACTAGTGTGTTGGCATGCGATGGTGGTTGCTTACTACAACTGCCATCCATTAGGTTGTTACTTGTTGAATCTCTTTACTTGTGTAATGACACCGTCAGGTAGGAGTCCATTATTTGTTCAGAAGGCCTTCCGGATGGTCGGTGCTTGCTCTGGGGCCAAGACCGTTACCTTTCAAACGATTTGTTTTATTCAGCTACCCTGTTAGTTTTGGATAAGCGCCATAGCAACCAGGTTTGTGGCTGGAAAACATAACTTTGTCCCTGCCTTTACCTGTAAATCAGATGAGTAATGACATATCCATTTCCTTCACGATTCTCTTGAAAAGGAAATCAAAGGTATTGGATATTGAGGTCGATGCTTGGCGCTCTTCATCTCATCTATCTATTCAGTTCGGAAAGTCCTTAAAAGTAGCCTTGTTATACGGAAATAGGCCAATGTTCACGGATAGGTTCTCCGCTGCTTGTCGGTGGGATACTTTTGCTGTGGATCGTGAGTGCCGGGGACCATCAGTTATCACATTAACCACGCGAAATTTTAGAACAAATCCGTAGTTCGTTTGGCTACGTAACCTGCCAGTAGCTTGGAATGCATTCTTTCCAGGTCGCACGACAGCCAGACGTCTGGAATTCTTAGACTCATATTTAACTGCCTAGTTTCTGGCAGGGCTTCATGCGGGGACCTGTACTCTATGTGACGGCGTAAGTGGCCATGTAGCATATGAGGAGGACACAAATCCAAAATGACCAAACTTAGGATGGTTGCGGTTCAAGCCAGAAACATATATTCAAGGTGAGGCACAACTCACTTAACGCTGTCCTTTACAGGAAGGTATATGTGACAAATTTTGTTACAAGCCTCCGGTGTTATAACTGCCATGACTTGCCACCAAAATAACGCTGCAAAACAAGATCTTCAGTGTCCTATTACTGAGAAATTGGATGAAGATGAGGAAGGTTAATTGTTAGGAAACTGGATTGCGTTATGAGCCCAAGAATGCAACCTAAATGCAACAGAGTTGTTTTGCGCTCGGTAATCGATAATGAGGAACGGCTGAGGGGAAAATTTACACGGAGGATATCATTGCTCATTTGGAGATGCTTCTTGCCCAAACAGGCACACCGTGGCCTTTTATCTTGTCACTGTACGGTATTTTAAGTTACGAAAGGGGCATAACTTCCAACACTATTCACAATTACTCACATTTAACTAAGGTCTCTATTAGCAGATAAAATTGTCCCCAGGAACTGCAAATGTATTCGGGAAACTGCCTGGTTTGTACATGCAGTCGCATCCAGAAGAGAACTCAGTCTTTGAGTCTCTAAAAAGAGCATCCGATCTCAGTTTAGCAGAAGAAGTGACCTGAGCGTTTTTCGGGGTTTTACGTCCACTATAAAAGATTCCAACCTTCGATTCAGAATTCCTGTCTTTATCCGCGTCTCAACATGGCTCCAAGGGAAACAGTAACGGTCGCCGCTGGTGAATCTTTATTATCCTTAATGTTCACTCCGACCTACCTGCGGAAATAGGATACAATGTCGCAATATCATATCGTTCTATTGTATCCTCACCGTACAGACTGGAGCTACAAGATACTTAAGAGGGCTAAAATGTAGCTCACATTGGAGAACTTATTAGCTGCATATTCTGCACTTGCTTCAGATGAGTAATTTGCTACCGAATGTAAATCTGTGCTATGACTGAGTTCCTCTTTAAGTCTGGATTCACATAAGTGCCTCAAACTGCTATCAAAAATGATTTCGTCGCCCCGTACAGATTTTTGACAGAGACCACTAGATTCCACAAGGTTTCGCTCAGGGATTGTCGGTGGCATGTATATACTTAGATCAGCAGTTTCAGTCGGATATAGTCCCTCTCAGAGCCGCTATCGAACTCTGAAGGTCCTACATCAAATTAGAATTCATTTTGAGTGCTTACATTCGTGAATATTGTTTTGCAGTAGTACTGAGGAAGTTATTGAAGGCGAACAGAAAAGAAGGCATCCATGTTGCAGAGTACAGTGCTCAGTGTAGTGTGGAGCTTTAAGTGGCAAAATGTAGACTGCTTGCATAAGATACGATTACATCATATGAAAAATTTGGAATCACCAACAACAACATATGTCCCATGTTCAAAAATTTAAGCCCAAGACGTTATTCAGGAGACCATTAATCAAGGGCAAAGTGGTAAGTTGTCCTCAAGAAGAGCTGTATTGACTCCTGAACATTCAGGGTTCCAGCTGACATGCTTCTTTAGGAAGAAGCTACTGAAGACTTCATTTTGAGATTTTGGTGCGGAGCAATGAAGTCTCAATACCAATTCAGCACGTTACCCAGAATTCACTCCAGACGAAGAACTACACTTTTTCCCCTTTGGCATTAAAAAGAGCAGCGGAGAATTGGTGTGCATCGGGGATGGTTCGTCGAACCACAAGGAAAATCTATGATGAGTATCTGACCTGGTATTTCTAAAACATGAGAATAGTACAGGAAGAGGTATCCTCCTTGGGGGATGCTAATGCCTTCTCTGAAAAGTGCTGCAGCGTAACCAAGAAGAGCAAGAGCAAGGAGGTTAACATTTTAAAGGTACGCTATCACAGGAAATGGTAGTAACTTTGGTCCACTAGCCTCACCTCCTGTCTGAATTAATATCAAACCGTTACTGGTATGACTTACGCACAAACCACTCAGGTAGGAAATAAGGGTTTCACTATCAATACCTCTGGAGTGTTGTCAAAACCCTCTTAGACAGAGTGTAACCGGCTTTGGATAACTTCAAAATGACCCCCGACAACTCGGGCCTTGTGAGTCATCACTGAAAGTGAAGCAGAGAGTTAGATCCTCATTTTCAGGGGAATTAAATCCACAGCGGCGCAAAGCAACCTTAATATTTGACCACTGGTACTTTTTAGGACCAAGGAGAGTGACTCTCCTTCATCGGGCGATCTTGAGCAGCACGACCTCACTCTATGAAAGCTTGTTGTTATGCTTTCAGGAATTTCGCTCCTAAAACGTCCAACCACTACCAAAGTTTCTCCAAAGGCTCCACAGGACCTTTGAAGCTCTGCTTAGTTAGCACCCATCAGATCAGAAACATTCTTTTGGAAGACCATCAGTTAGCCGAGTGGGAACTGTCATACATTAGGATTAGGCCTGATATTCCACGGTCTTCGAGGTAACTTCTCCACAATAGTAGAACAGTGACTTCCAGATGCATTCGTTGTTCGCCTACCATAAGTGGAATTTGCCGATGAGTAAGCATTGAAACTGCTGACCTTGTTAATAACTTCGGTCACTGGGGGTATTCAGTGAAGAAACTACACACCGTTGTGGTGGCCGAAAAAATTCTCCTTCTTCCGGAGCCGGCTCAGCTCTTGAACCTCCGTACCCACAGTTTGCTTTAAGATGCTCTTGGCTCTACGTACATGGCCTTAATGACCCTGGAGTCGTAGTATTATGGGTCGAATGCTTTGTCTAATGAACTAAAAATGAAGGAGTGTGAATCTCAAGGGTTGGGGCAGACTGAGAGAAGATTCTAGAACTTGCCTCTCAGGGATCCATGTCCAACAGCTAAACAAGAATTTTTTCTCCGCCATGTCTCATAGCCAATAATTCTGTGCTGGCCCCCAACCAGGCGAGAACAAAGACCTGGCTCCTTTTCAGCCCCCTTTATTTGCCTGTAAAAAATTTGACAATGCAAGGCTTTTCTGGGGGGTACATTCGTAATTGCATTGATCCAGTTGGCTGTTGGAACTTGGTTTGCACACTTTCGTTTGCTGCGGCTTTAGCAATATGCCAGGCCCACATTAGAAGATGCCTCAGATGAGATTATTGATTCGGGTGGAACATCCCACCACATAGGCCATCTGTGAGGCATGCCTCACAGATGAGATAAAAGGCAGTGTAGTTCTTCTGGAGAGCCGAACTTAATTCTCAAGGTGGCATCGTGCTTTACACCTGATTCATTTGAAAGCTTGCTAGACTGCTCCTCTTGCAGATGTCTACGAACGTTCGTTCCTAAAAGATGGATTGCCCTCTAACTGGAAACAAGCGACTGGCGTGCCAGGGCCTAAAGGCGGAAATAAAACCAACTATTTCCTGCTATAAACAGACCTCTTTCCTCTCTCCAGTTACGAAGGTTATGGAAAGAGTGGGAAATGGTCCGTTTAGGTAACACAATCCTAGCTGACCATGGACGCGGATTTTCACTTGGAAGGTCATACAGCACCAACTTGTCGATAGCATGGAATGGTTGGACGATATCTGATGAGCAAAATTAGCCCTTTCATAAAGGGTTACTTGGCCTCCTGAAAGCCACTGAAAAGGTTAGTCGTGACATTCTGCGCAAGAAACTTTGGTTTATGTAAGTACGTGAAAAATTTCTGGTTGGTTTAGTGACCACCTCAACAGCGGGTTACATTCAGTCAAGACAGGCACCTCCCTATCTAAATAGCTTTCGATGCTGAGTAGGGTGACTCAGGGTTCTATCCTTGGTCGACTACTGCTTCTTACTTTTGTAAACAGCTTACTAGCAAGATTGATTTCTCACCAACCGTTGCAGGATGGTTATCTTCAGATTTGAAAGAAAATACAGTGGCCTGTGAACATCCTGATCCCACAAGAGGACCTTTCTAAAATCGTAAGTTCGACAGTCGAAAACATGCACCATGTAAAGCTGGAGAAGCGTAATGTAATGATTGTAGGCAGATGTGGTTGTAATTCTTTCTCCTAAGCCCTGGGCCAAAGAAATATTCTCATTCAACTACTGTAAAGTATTTATGGGTTATCTTGGGTGGCGCACATGGAGCTCCACTCAGTGATCACTCTGCAGCCAAAATGGTGTATGGGGTCCTGGGAATTCTGTTTCGTACTCTAGGAAGTCAAACTCCGAGCCTTTTCACAGCAATGCCCTCTTGGGAATTGTCACTGTACGAACTTGACGGGCGCCGGGTCCAATCACCAATTATTCGTACCTGTAATATACCCTAGGATGCAAGACGAAGGAAGAACACAGAAGCGTGGTCAGGTGGGATAGCAAGTTCGAGAGATCATGCCAAAATACCTATGCCTTCCGACTAGCTAGCTAGAGGAGCTACCACGCACAGTGTAACGTAACACGACGGTATGCCAAGTGTCCTGGACGCTTGACCGTGTACCCTCAGCTTGGCAAGTCCGGTAAAACTGTGAAGGTCAGCATCAATATTGGATCTCGTCGAACCCCACGGCTATTGATTTTAGGGAAGTACGTGACGCCACACCCTCGAGTAGAGAAAAACTCACTTGCTATATCTGCACACCTCAAGAGGAATGTAACCGTCCTAGAACCGGCTCGGGGAGGAACTACAAAGAGGGTATTAGTCTACGGCGCTAACCTTGACCGGATCCTTTAGTTACTCTTAAGCAGCACTCGCTACAGCACAAGAGGATAGGAAGCGATTTTATCATGGTGTAACTTACCGCCAGAAATCCGCTTCATTATAAACGACGGCTTTTAAGCTTTAGTCAAAAACCGTCTTAGAGGCTATTCTTCCGGATTAGGGTATGCTCAACACGTTCAATGATCGGCACTAACAAATTTTCAGTTGGAGTATGAGAATTATGGAACTCTTGTCCTAAAGAAATTCTGGCAGCAGTTTCTTCTGACACATTTAAAAGGTTTGATGCGCGTACAGTCCTTCGATGGATTTGAACTGCACTCAAGAAGCTACCCATCAGCTTATAAACTTTGGATAGCAGCATTATCCATAGCAAGCTAATTAACTAATTAAGTGATTATTTCTGTCCTTTCAAGTCTCCTTGATCCAAGAAAATAACTGATCATTTCCGGCATAGATGTTGTTCCATTTAGACAGAAGAACAACGAAAGGAACTAATATTCGCTACTTCTTCAACATGGAGTTTGAAGTTTGAACCACTTTTACTACATTCACCTCAATGACCTAGTGTGGTACGCCATTACTTTCAGATTGTTAGGTCGTGCATTAGTTAGCAGGATGGGGAAACACAAGTTCAAGACACGGTGTTACTTAGATATCAAGATAGATTCACAACCAGGTAATATATGTTTGTAAGTACTTAACAGTAATCCCCAGCGGGCCGTATCGTGCTTGAATTATTTAATGACACATGTCCAAAGGCTGCTGAGAATTTCAAGAAGCTCTGCCAAGGTATTTTTCATTCCTATTCTTATGGGTTGTAGGAGTTTGTGGTTTAGGGTTAAAAACAGGGAAACCGCTCACATATCAAGGAAGCATATTCCACCGAGTTATTAAGGGTTTTATGGTGCAGGGTGGTGATTTCAGTAATAGAGATGGTACAGGGGGTGAATCGATATACGGTGGAACATTTGCTGGTAACACACGCTTAGTGATTTTGAATCTTTAGATGAGTGTCTGACGATTGAGCATGATCGACCATTTTTGCTATCTATGGCAAACCGAGGACCTAATACGAATGGCTCACAGTTTTTTATGTAAGGTCATTATTTTACTGTTGATTTCCTTCAGTACCACTGCTCCTGCGCCTCATCTGAATGGCAAACACGTAGTGTTCGGTCATGTAATATCTGGGGAGGATGTTGTCAGGAAAATTGAGGCTGTCCCAATAGCCGACACAAAGGCTCACCGTCCAGTGAAGTCCATTGTTATTGAGACCTGTGGCGAACTTATCCCCGGTAAGTTTCTGCAGTTTTTGACAAGAATTTGTAGTGAAAAAGGGGAAAATAACAAGTGAAGGGAAAAAAAAGAAGGCCAAAAGGGAAAAGAAAAAGAAGAAGCGAAAAATGAGTGAGGGTGAGGAGACTTCTGATAGGTAAGCCATTTTGACTAAAGGTCATTGTTTAGTGAAAGTAACATGGACAATGAGTGCAGTGTTCGTAAAGAAGAAATCCCTGAAGTTCCACCTCCAAAATTTCTATATCGTGGGAACTACGAAGAAGATCAACTGGAAATGCAAAAAAAAACGGAACTCAGTCCAAGGTATTGTCTATATCTTTTTAAGCATACTTGTTTGATGTGGTCGTATGAATGACTTTTAAAAGTAGATTTCCTATCTTATTGGGTTACGACTAGCTAATGGTTGCAGCCGTCTTAGATGTTTTATGCACTTGTGCCTTTTAGGCTGTTCAGTCAGCAATATGAATCGAAAACTTATGTAGTGGAAGCGAACTTAATTCTCTGAAGCCAAGGTACGTTTCGGGAGTCACCAGTGAAGAGATAGATTTTAAGACGACGGTGTATGTGCATGTTGGTTTTTGACTGTTAATTTTTGTGATTTATGTAGTCCCTTAATGTACTTACACTTCCTGACCTATCTGGTTTTAGTTAGTGCTGTTTAGTGAATCGCTTTCAAATCGCAGTTTAGCCAGGTAGCTGATAGTAGGACTTCGTTAAGGAGTTCCAGGACTCGTGATTTCGGTTGTTAGCGAGCTCAGACGTGCGGCTTCAGGTGCATCCAAAAGTTCGAGGGTATTCGGCGTGTACTTTTATTGTAGTCGTCCTCATATATTTATTTTGTTAGGACTTTGTTTTTAAATGTTAGGGTATATATTATTTGGTTAGGTAATTTCATGCTTATTCAGTTTGAAGTACGATGTTAATCAGTTTTATGATATTTGACTACGACTTAATTAAATCTAACGCTTTGTGTTACTTTTGGTCAAGTCTTTCAGCGCGCCTCAGTAATCACTCAACCGAGTCCAGGTGGGTCTTCTGTTACTATTACGTTTGACTACTGAATGTTTCGTCAGATATTTTCACACTCACAAAACGTCCTTTGGAATATAATGATATCACATACTCATAAGCAGTAGTTTCCCAAAGAGATAACTGCCTTCCCTTTTTTAGGAAGTCGTTTTTGCCCGCTAAACTTCTGGTGTCTGAGTACGGAGTAGACTACCACCTTGACAGTGCACAATGAAGACAAGTTAGACATTACCTGCTTCAAACAGTAATCAGCGTTAGATAGTTGTAGGCTCGAAATAATTTAGTCTGGCTTATCCGCTATTTATTCAGATAACTTGCGTAGTCTAAACCTCACTTAATTTTTTGTTGCGGAACTAAAATGTATATCAGCACTTTCACTGCATTAATTTGGTAGTAAATGGAAGAGGTAATCCAAGAGCTATCTGAAGTGATTTTTAGCAGCCGTATTTTGTCTACTCATTTGATGTCAGTACCGCGTCCAGGAGCAATCCACTATACGAAAATTGTCATTTTGCGATGCAACAAGTATAAGGCTCGAACGTTAATAGATGTAACTTGCCTGAAAAATGCTTTACGAATCACTGTCGTGTTCCATTGTAGAAACCAAAATAATGCAAGCTTTTCTCTTTCAGACATGGTGTGGATAGCAGTCGTGAAAGTGTTCGGAGTCGATATCAAGAGGACCGTTCGGGTCGAGTTGTCAAGGGACGCGGTCGAATTGTGAGTTCTCTTTTTTTGAATACCAGGATTGTGGTCTTGTAGTGCTCTGTGAATTCCAATTTCCTACAGGCGTTCAACACGATACATCTGCTTCTTGTACAGTGCAGCAGTCTTTTCATATCCTTAGATGGTTTTCATGATCACTTGTTCTTGTTAATTGCAAGTCACCTGCCACAAAAACTGTTGGGAGCTGAATTAAAAAAATAAAGCTGACCACCAAAATAATTATTGTCTTGGACTTCTCGTATCACCTGTTGTCCTCGTTTATGTTTGTATATGTTTTATTTTCATCCTGGTGGACCGTTGATAAGTTCAGTGTTACTTACATCAGTGTAAAATATAAAGTCTTCTATCCCATGAATAAGACATACGACGTTTTTGTTTTCTATTTTTTAGTAACCTAATGGTCACCAGCTGAGCTATGCAGTGTAATCTGTTTTTAAAATTATGTTTTTAACTGTAATATCTGCTAATTAGGGATGTAATTTTCCAGATTCTGTTTTCTTATCTAACATTTTTGGTATGCATGATATTTATTTTAGTGTTACCAAAGCCCCAATTCTCGTTCAGGGAGTCCTGGACGTAGCACTACACCACCACATTGGCGTCAAGCAAGTTTTCACACTCAAAGGCTAGACCAAGATGAATGGAAACAATGGAATGAACGGAGAAACCATGAACAAATGAATAATTTACAGTATGTCCTTTAGCACTTCATAATTTATAGAACAGTAAGGCCCATTTAGTTGGACACTCGGTTTTCAGCCAGAACCACTTCCTGACTCCACTGTATCTGCCAAAGTTAAACAGTCAGGCAGTCCCAAAGTGCTCACACAGCAGCTTTCACCTAGCGCTTAGTGCATGACTCTGTCTAGTGCAGCTGAGTTGGATTACTATATTCATTTAAGGTTATCTAGTGGGTTTTCATTTTTAGAAAAATATTAAAATGATGGCTGCTTGCAGACTGTCACATATAATGAGTTTAACTGGTGTTCATTCATTAGCTAAAGATTGAACCATAAAGTTATTGGTGCTTCAAGCAGATGGTATTTAGACCATTTATACATCTCTTATGAAGCTAATTCGAATTCTTTGTTCTTGACATACTGTGCTTATTTTCTATATCTTACCATTCCTTTAATTTTCGACTATATATGGTTTAAGTAGTTTTTCCCATTTTCATTCAAGGAGAAGAGTATCTTCATCTCATTCATCTCGTGGAAGCCGACATGATCCACCGTCTCCCTCCATGGCTGCCAGTCGTAATAGAAATCCAAGTACTTCACCACCTTTCGTACCCAATACTGATGTTTCGAGTAGTATAAGAAGAGCTGACTCTTCCGAAAAGGAACTCTCAACAGGTCAACGGGATGGTCGTAAACGGCGTTCTCCTAGTCAGTCACCATTAATAACTCAGTAGGTTCATTTAACGTTTTCCGGGTTCATTCTCACTTGTATTTACAGATCAAGTTTCTAATGTCACTGCAAGTAGCACTTCTGTGTATCGTAGATAACTACATTCAACACTCAGCTAATTGTTTCACAGATTTCCCATTTTAAGAAGAAATCACAGTAACAAACAAGGTTCCCGTTGTCTCATAGTTGTAGTTTCCCGTTGCTATACAGGGTAGGATTGCCCACCCTCTGTTGGTAAATGGGTTGCCTGCATAGGAACAGAATGTTACAAGTATCAAACAACTGATGCCCGTTGTATAGTAGGCGTCTCTCGTGCCTCAGTGGCTTAGTGAATAATGCTTCGGCGTTTGAAGCGATGGGCACTAGGTTCAAGTCTCAGCGGAGACAACACTCACTGAGGTACAGGTACATCCAGCTGACGAGCCTCAAGTAAGATGAAACACACATCCGCCTGGATTCCGCTACTAGTCACCAAGCTGAATAAAACAGGGTTTTCGTTTAGCTAGTACTCAGTTCCGAGGGTAATTCCCTGCGAGTTTCCATCTACTCAGTTTACAATTATTATAAACCTCTATGATAGTTCTTAAGAATATTAAGAGGTTTGCTGTGTCTTTCTAAAAGTTTTAACAAATAGGACATTACTGTTGCAAATAACTATTCTCGAGCCCTAAAAGATACGGTGTTGGCCAGGTATGACACTTGTTAATGTCCTTGTGAAAGCACTAACAAACGTTTTTCCTCTTTATATGATAACCAACACATCTGTTCGAGACAAAATATGAGTAAATAATTATATCAAAAATTTGCTTGAATATGTTCTTACAAACAGGTTTCAGTAAGTCAAGATGTGCAGTTGAGACCAGTTAAAAATAGTTTGGTGGGTGCTCAAAATGTGGCTAATATCTGTTTAAGTTTTTACTACGTATTCGATGACTAGTTATTTCTATGTTACTGATACTGTTCGTTTAGGCTTTTCGTTTCTCTAACTATTTTTTGCATGCCAAACTGTTCAAATAGTCATGTTTCATTCTTTCTTATGCTAAAGCTCAGTCTAGTGTTATTTATGTTTATTCTATTTACGACTAGTCTTCAGCCATATGTAGCTTATTTAGGAACCGTTAAATGATGGTGACACAACTGATTTATTCCCTTGGCTTTTGTCCAATTGTTAATAAGCATCACATTTTCAGAATCTGAAATAAACCACGAGTATTGAATTAGCCTACTGAAGTAAAGTACATACTTCTCAGAATTGCTTGTTTAAAGTTTTTTCACTATTTTTGTGTTCGTTTTCAACATATTTTAGTCAGGCTATTGTAAATGATTCCAAGTTATTGGAAAATGGTTCGTCACCAACACCAAATCATATATCGCCAACCTCATCGGCACAAAAAAGGATTTGTGTTGGGTACGCGGGTGAATCTGAGGATTTGCATGAGAAGTGTTATCCTAGATCTCCCGAAGACGTACGCCAGACACCTATGTCTGAAGATTTTTTTTGGTAAGGATGAACGGACAAACCATCAGCATGTTTCACGAGTAAGCGACGAATACATGGTAGATGTCGACGAAGATGTTAAGCGTAAAACTCCCCACCCACTACTCATGAGGAGCCTTCAAAACTCTCTAACTTTTCAGAGTATTCGAGCGTTAAGGTAAGTATCTTTTTCATGTTTCTTCAGTATATAATCCGTCTTACAACTACAAATATTTAGGCTATTTTGGCATTTCAGAAACAATTGAAAATATGAAATTTTTAATAATTGGTCGTTATTTCTAAATAAGTTTACTGTTGCAATGAGATTGTTCATTTTGTTTTCTCTCTTACACTTATCAATTATTTAGCTGTATCAGACTGTTGTAAGCAACTAGTAAACGCTAATGAGCAATTATAGTATCTTGATACTGACATCAAATTTTAGATGCTGATTATCCTAGACTTTTTTATTAGCTTACTTTTCTTCTAAATTAAGTTTGTCTTGATTGGAGTATTTTTGTTTTGTCAGTTAAATGACGGATCCAAAAGACATTCAGCTGACTCACCAAAAACATCCCATACTAGTCAGTCTCCTACCAAGTATTCTGGATCCCCAAACTTGAAATCCCCACAACAGTTAATTATTTCTCCAGCTCATTCATCAGCTTCTAGTCAACAGCAAAAATATGGATCAAAATCACCTATTCTTCAAATGCTTTCTCCGAAACCCGTTACATCTTTAGAAAACCAAGCTCCTTCAGAATCACCCATTGCCGCTTCGCCTCCTACTCATGGTCTTTATTCATCTCCTCTATCCGTCATCGGTTCTGATAACCGATTGCCATCACCACCACCTAGTCAGAACCCACAAAAGTCTCCGTCTCCGGATCTATTACGTAAAAGCGAGGTAAGACGTTATTGGTCATAAATTTAAATTTTCACTCAAATTTCAAGCTGGATGAGACGTATTAATGGGTGAAACGGAATTAGATTTTAAGTAGCTTTTATACTCACCGGACTTCACACTTCTAATCACTACGATGCGTTCTTAATAGGCAGCTGTGCAACATTTAAAATCAAATGTAAGAAATATTCACCTGTCGCTCAAAGTTTGGGTAAAGGATACTTGTAAATTTTATTTCATGAAGCATAGTCATTGTAAATAATATGAGTTTAGTGTTGTTTAGTATGCATAGTTATGGAAACGCTTCAAAAAACGATGTTGTCAGTCTCACTGGACCTACTGCTTTTGGTAAGATGTCATTCTTTGCAACTCGACAAGTTCATGTAAAAAAAATAACTTTTACGTAGTGTGACACGAGTTGTGATACTACCAGGTTGCTCAAATTGGGTTAACTAAATTACCATTGAGCATGTTAGTTTGTAGTTGGTTGCCAAATAAACGCGCTACTACTAATCATTTACATTTCATTTTGATTTTCGCGGTTTCTTTTTAGTGTGTACGTTAGCATCAAGCTCTTAGATTCAAAGGAAAACTGGAGATACTAGTGTTAATAGTTAACATTTTGCTGGATGTTTGGATAGTCATATGGTTTTTTTGCATGTAAAATCCATTTGAGGAATATGTAATGTTATTTCAATAACAGCTTTAGTACGAGGTTTGTTTGATTTTCCTTCAGGTTTCTCCTCAACTTCCTGTTAGAATACCAACGCCACAACCACCAGCTAATGGTGACAAAAACAAAGAATTTGCAGCCGACTCAGGATCGCCTATGGCAGACAAGATTCAGTCACCTGAGAAATCTAGTAAACCCCATCTAGATAAACCATCAAAAGTAACTCATGGCTCTCGGTCCGCTTCACAGAGTTCATCATCTTCAGGTTCCAGATCGGATTCATCCTGTGAATCTGGTAGCTCTAGGTCACGTTCTCGATCCCGTTCACGATCTCAGTCCCTAACAAGTCCTAGAACCCGACGTCGACAAGCCCCACGCAGTCCTCCTGCTCATCTTGTAGAAAAGTACGTCATCCTTTGGTTGCAAGTAATTTCTTTCCTTAGAAATTAATTTAAAAGTTTAACGATTTTATTTTAACCTATTATGTTTTTTAAAGTATACATTGGCGTGGCGAATTACGACTATGAATGGGTAGTAGTCGTTCAGACAGCACGCTACATTGAAAACATGCGTTTTTGTGTTCGTATGTTAACAATCAACGGTGCCCATTTTTTCGCTGTTTATGTGAACCTACCTAATCACCGATATTATGTATATTTAGATGGAAAATGCGTCGTGAAATGTTGAACCAAAAGCGTCGTGTTGTACCACCGTCTGTGGCAGCATATGCACCTTCTGGATCTTCAGAAGATCGCTTGCGACGTCATGTACCGGGAAGGAGTGCTCATATACATTCCAGATCGCCGTCGCGCTCCATTACCAGTCGTCGAAGAAGTCGGTCCTCAAGTTCTCGTTCCAAATCAGGTTCATACTCTCACCGACGTACTAGATCAAATGTAAGGCGTGGTTCTCCTGAAACAGAAAGTGTCCGCAATCGAAAAAGAAGTATAAGTCGCGATCGAAAAATATCTCATTCGAGATCTCGTAGTCGCTCGCCTGTTAAAGGTTATGGATTAAAACACAGAGGCACTTCGCCTAGCAAGCCTATCATAGTAATAACTAAGAAGAGTCAAAACACACAGTAAGTTTTGTGGTGTTTTTGAAAACGTGTCACTACGTATTTTATTTGCTTGTTAGTTTGAGTTTTGATTACTTTCTAACAAATGGACTTAGCTGTTTCATGGGTTTCATGGTACGAGATTTTAAAATTAACTACGCTTTAGAATTCTTGTATGCCTAATTTTTAGGCATATAAAGATTTCTATAATACTGTTCTGAGCACCCGGCTCCCAACCAATGACTGACAGGTTTTCGTATAATTCAGATTCATTCTAGGATTTCTCCTTATAATCAGTCATCTACAATATCTTCGTAGCAGATTCAATACCCAATTCATTTACTTAAGATTAGTCAACCAGATAGTGTCATCAGCCCTCGCAATAGGTGCGTCTCAGTACCTAGTGAATGAACATTTGACTGTATCAAAGAACAGACTTCGAATTTCAGTAATGTAAAATTGAGTGTGATTGCATTTATATGCTCTTATGATTTATTCGCATTTAATTTTTGTTGTTATAGGCGATAGTTATTCTTTTCTGGTAATGTTGACTTGACTCACAAACAATAGGAAGTTGGTATTTGTTGCTTTTTAAAAGCAATGGAAAACATTTTTGGTACAATGCCGATTTTTCGTGAATTTCATTTACGGACCATCTGTGGTAATAGAACAGGAGTGATAACGGTAGAGCACCGGCCAGCTTCACACGTATCTGAATTCATATAGTGTGATCATTGAATAAATCAGTGATTCGAATGAAAAGTCAAAGCCTATTAGATATAAGCTGACTGCGTCCCCACTGAGTATGTCACGTTTAAAATTCGCTCCATCTACCGAGGTTTAAGAAGCTAGGTACTGACTACCACTAACGCTCACACAAACAGTGTGATAGTTTAGTGCAAGAATCTGTGGATAGTTCGCAATTTGCACTACCGTTAGCACTACTCAGTTGAAGAAAAGCTTAACGAAATAAGTGTAAAAGACACCACTTTCGCTAAAGTTTATTAGGTTCAGATTCTTTTGCTACTCACATTACATAATATACAAATACTGAAAAAACGAGATGAATGGCGTCACAAATCCTCCAACACTACTCTGATACATGTTGCTGAGTGAGTTCCACCAAGAAGTTTTCAAAACTAATCACTTTTCTACAAGCTCAGTGGTTTACTTGGGAACTTGTTGCATAGACGATCACACAGAGTTGTTAATTACAAATTGAATAACTAGGTTCGTCTTGAACATCATAGCATATTCTTAAAACAAACTGAACTTGTAACTCATTCTCAGTCGGATAGCGTTTATTAGGTAGGTTTAGGCTCAAACGATGAACAGTCACTGCGGAATTGTTGTATCTTCGTAAACGTCTAGCTTTTTGTGTTGCAATGATCTTCCGTCATTTCTTAATTATTGTGTCTGTAAATGGGTATGTGGATTGTCACCTTGCACTAATCAGTATGAGCTTACTACTTGTAGTTAACGATGCAGTGAAATGCCAGTGGGTTAGGTATCAGATTAGCATGCAACGTATTTACAAGGAACCATGTAAATACGCATTTAGTTTCAAGGAAAATTCGGAAATATCTAAACTTTACACACCCACCAGTTCCTTTAAAGATTCTATCTTAAGTCTGTGACATAAATTTTATGAACACGAAGACGACACTTAGTGGACGCAGTTGCGCAGTAGAGATCGAAATGAATACATGTATCTGTTAACTTGGGTTTCTTCTACATTGTCCAAGCCGTCACAAGCAATAAATGAGGTGATAGCGAAAGGTGTGAGTTAGGTGCCCTGCCAGTAAACACTTCAAGAATCGGAATCCTGCACTTCGAAGATGATTAAAATGCTACACAAGTAATACCAAAACAAGGGTGTAAAACCTCTTGGTTTCATAATTCTACATTAACAGTCTGGCTGAGCAGTTGCTTAAACTTACCATTGATCCCTAACACTGCAGCTTTGGAAATTTTCAAGATGCAGTAGTACACTAAGAAATCTAATTTTAGTACTTAAGGGTAATGTTTTATTGGTCATCCGGATTCGTGAATGTTTGTATTTACTTTGCACCATGCAGTTTTAAAGTACCTTAGGGTTGACAAGGACGTGTGCATGTAAATAACCTGTGTCAGCTGGGTACGAATAGTTGACAAGTGAGTCTATCTAAATGTTCGTGTTAGCATTAGTGCAGATGTTTCAGATAAGACCAGCGTTTATGGGAAAGGTCTTGCGGCAAAACATTTACTTCTAGCTGTAGGAAGCAACCTGTGTGATCATTAAATACTCAGTCTCATTTTATGTACGTAGAAAGTATCATCTACGTTTGAAAACTGTTGCGTATGTAGCATTCATTGTGTAGTATCACTGGCAATATTGCGTTTAGTACATCTATTCAAAAGATCATTGGATCTCATCACCCTGTAATATTAATCAGTCATCATTTGGAATACGCACTATTTCTGAGTCTTTCTATATAAAACAATGATATTGCTACTAATTGGCAGGAGGGTTCAGTGTGAACATTCCCACGAAGTGAATAGCAATTTCGCTGAATCCGGTTCATTATCCCTTTAGTTAAGTCCAAGGACATCAGTCGGTCCAGTTGTTTAGGACGTCATGTGTAACTCACAATCAAAGCTAACGATGATTCATCTTCTAATTAAACAAAGATATAAAACAAAGAACGTGCATGAGGCCTCCCTTCTTGACTTGTCGTTATTTTTAAGCTACAATACTAATATCTTACTGTTATACATCTCTTGTTGTCCTAGATGCACCACATTGTCTTAATCAATCAAGTGAGTGGTTCTATTCTTGTAGAAACTCCTCTGGTATAGAGGAAATATCTAAGTCAAACGATAAAATCGAACTTATTTATTGAGTAACGTAATTATTTAGTACTATATGAATTATTCTTATTTTATATTCCACTTGTTTTTACTTTAGACAGTATGATAGTACTCTCACTTTACTTTCCTTAACAGAAAACCTCCAAAAATCGTTGCCGAAGACCCACCCGTTGAAGTAAGTATAATTTTTAAAGCTTACGACAAAAGCAATCGATTCTTCCTGTAATTTAAGTATTGAATTTCGATAAAAGTGTTTGAGATTGTTTGAAGACTTTCATGTTTACCTACAGCCGTTGGATAGCATTTGAACTTCTGATTTAAGATATGGATTAATCAACCTAAAACGGTCCCTTCACGTAACTGATGTTTGACCGTCGTAAACGATAATTCATAGTATTCCTTTCCTTATTTCATTTCCCAGTTTACTGAAATGAAACATTAGGAACAGTAATATCAATGAAAAAACTTATTTTATGTGTGTGCATATTCCAGTAACTCAGCAAAAAAGGATTTTAGTGTTCCACCTTTCTTAAGACAGGTAGGTTTCTTAAAGTAAGAATAGATTATATGCTTCCTTTTGCTAAATCCTGTAAAGTCTTATCAAATCCTTTCTGGCTTTTCTTTTTCAAAGGACATCCCTACATCAAGTAAGTGGGAGAAATCTCCTCTTATTGTAGAAGAAAGTACAAATCAGCATCCAGCAGTTCCATGGACCAGCAAACATTGGCAAACAGATGGTAAAACGGAAGTTGACGAACCTATAAATAAGGATGGAAAGATCTTACCTGAAAAGATTCAATTGGCAAATAACAGTTCAGTCTTGCAGAGGCTTCGTGTTTCTCAAGAGGATCCTTCTAATATCGAAATACCCCCAGACAAAAGTGAGAATCCTCCAGCTGTAGTTAATGATAGTAAAACTAACAAAATAGAAAATCTAACTGCTGCTTCTACTGAAACTGCACCTGTTTCGAGTGTGCCAACCATGATTAAACCCCAGGTTCCACCAATATCTAAAAATCAGGTATCTACGCTGTTTACATGGCACCTTTTTTATTGGTAATTAATTCTTATTGAATCACTATTCGCAATACCTATTCTTATATAAACACAAAGTCAGTCTATTAGTGAGTTGAATCTTGTTTTCAGAAGAATTGCATTTTAAGCTGCATGTTCGAAAGTAAGAAGTACAACAATTAAAATCTAGAAACTAGTACTGTACGATAAACAAGAATCAATGGACTCCAGTAAAGATGTACAAGTTTCACAAATCATACCGAACATCTATATCTTGGTGGGTGGAATGGAATTCAAATCTGTTAATTAGTGGCTGGACCTACTGAGCTACAACTACGGTTCTATTGGTTATTTTATGTAGCGAATCAGTGTATTTTAAGTGTCAAATTAATTTAGGGCTTTTGTTAATGTATGTGAAGTCCTGAGAATGACGGCGACGTACATATATCAAGTAGCACTTGAGTACGCATTTTTCAATAATAATGCGAATGAGTTTATAGTTGATAACATCTTTCGCTAGCCTCAAGTCGAATATTTCGTTAGTGAACGCTAACCATGTAAAACAAATGCTGGGATATTAACAGTTCGAACTACACATATAGTGAGTAATCTCCACCATTGGGTGAAGACGAAAAATCTCATTGCTGTTTCCAAAAGGAAATCCAAGTTTTGGAAGCGGTTTCCTCTTCTATTTTTATGGTGTTCATTGGTTGTTGAAGCCATTTGCGGTCATCAGTGTGCTTCGCTTTTGCGATGTACAAAGCTTATACAAAAAGGTACGCAGCTCACATTACCTATTACTCATCGAAAACTTTTACATATTAATTTCCCAATTTGACATAAAGATACCTGTTCGTATGCATCAAAATATATTTCAACGTAAAAACAGCAGTAAATCGTAGTGATATCGTTTTGGTGAACAGTGTTGCTGTGCAAAGTGAATCTGCCAACAAAATGTTTGGGGCGAGTACCAAAGGTTGATCTTTGTACGGTTTATGTTATCGCCTATATGCAGAAATTATCTTTTTCTGTAGAGATGCAAACTTGTAAGTTTTGTCTAATCGACACTTCTCATTCTTTTCTTATTTGATGCAACAAACATTAATCTTTTGTTTTTACAAATGCCCATGTTTATTGTAGTAATAGCTTGCTTAAGCATGCCCGTAATAAGTGTTGAGTAGAAGACATGTCGTGTGTGGCACTACACAGTATTATTGCATTTTTGTTCTCGACGATTTTAGAGCTTTGAAGCCACATAGGTTTATACGATTACCACAACCAACCGTTTCTAATTTATCACTTTAGATCTGAGGTGCATATTTGGGGTTGCTAGAATTGCGGAAACTATTCTATTTGGAATCGAAATGAAAGTAAACGTTAACACGGCATCGTTCATAATCTATCTATTTCGTGAGGTATCTCAAGTTGAGGTGATGCATTAAAAGATAGGGTTTTAAATTTATTTGTCCGATAACGATAGGGTGATTTGATGCGGCGTTATACAGCTTTTCAACTAAAAGCAGTTTTCTGGATCGAAACAATTGATCACAGTTTATGCAATGATAAGCCCGTTAAACTTTGATAAGGTATCGCTTAGCATCCTCTTTCTTAATGACTAGCTACTCTCTTTCAAATATGCATATATAGATTCAGCGGTTCTTAGATGCATCTGTTTTGTCATATATTTCAGGCATATTTTACTTGACTGGTTAATTTAATGTAGATACGTACTACAGTCACAAAGAAATACACGAAATCCTTCATTGGCTTTGGAAATAAGATTCACAAAGGTATTTTAACCACACATTTCGTTCTGTTTTTCTCACATGAACTACGGGTAAGTCCAGTTATTCTAGAGGAATTTCGGAAAAGATACTAATATAATTGCTTGTATTATACTGTCGTTGATTGGATCGAATTGATCGGTCTCTATTGGCATATGGGCTCCTGTGCGTATGCCTCGATATTACCTGTGTTTCAATTATAATAATGTTTGAAATAAAATGAAGCCATTAAAGTCTCTTACTTTAATCCGCTTGATGATGAAAACTAAAACAGCTATTTTTTTCGTATTTTTAGATTAAAAAGCCAACTGCAATCAGAGGAAGATCTCATTCATCTAGTTCTAGTTCTTCTTCTTCTTCCTCTTCATCTGGATCTTCATCAAGAAGTTCTAGCAGACCTAAGCGTTCTCGTCCGCGATCTCGATCCATAAGCTCTTCTGCTCGCAAAGTTCAAAGGAGTGACTTTTCAGACTCAAGAAGCAGAGGCAGGGGTCGTTATTCACCAGTTAGTCGCTCTTACTATACGCGATCACGTTCTCGTTCATTTTCAACAAGAGCCTCAACAAACTGGGGCACGCGTACCAGTTATCCAAGTCGAAATCGGTCGTGGTCTAGATCTCGTTCCCGATCATTTTCTAGAGACTCTCGATCCCGTAGCTCGAGTATTCGTCGACATAAGCGTCGCCACAGGAGGACGCGTCGTGGTAGAAATTCAAGCCGTAGTTGGTCATCATCCAGGAGTTCCAGTAGATCAAGACGACGCTAACTGTAATATCAGCCTATGCAACATCTGTATTGTTTGAGTCACTTGTTTTAAATGTATTTATTCATACTGTATTCCTGTGTTTTCAGTTTGCCTTCATCACCCATTTTGTATCAAAAAGTGAACGTTTCGAGTTCATGTTAATTATATTGGTAAATAGCCGGTGTAATCATCCGACAAGTTTAAATAAAATAATGGAATGTCATAATAAGTTATGTTTCACAACTCAGAAAGTTAAATGCTATAACTGATAAATAAATCACGTTATCGGTTGCCGAATCCGTTACAAAATCCGGAAATCACTCTGTCTCGGTCCTTGGACGAGGTGGTAATGGCGGCGGAATTGTTCTTGGAGGTGCATGTGGAGCAGTGCGTGTAGGCAGAATGGAATCCAACTGAAAAGGACAAACATTCTACTTTAGAAAAGTTGCATACCGTATGGGACTAATAGAGAAAATCACTCGATGGTTTCCCTTTATTTAAGAAACGTGAACGCAATGAGAAATTTATTCAAACCACAACTGAAGTGCAGCTAAGTGATCTCTTTTGCTACAATGATACGCAAAGATTGATTATCCATGAAGGTTGGTAACAAGGAGTCAGTGGAACAGTTATAGATAACTAACCTGCATCGGGGTGGTCCGAATATACAGATGTATAATCGATAGGCATAATGCATTTAGGATTCATACGATAGTCCAGAACTTGCTGAAATTCGGGTCAATAACTGTAATCCAATTTTACCGTATCACCATTAGGAATCAGTTGTGTTTTCATAACTGAACCGAAAAGAGTAGGAACCTTGAGTTTGAGTTTGCTACATAGGAGATTTCCATCGCATTTTAAGGTGAGTGTAGCGAGAATCCGTAAACTAAGTATGACAAAACTCATCGTCAGTGTAAATAGCTACGCTATGCTCTCGGTGTCTAAGTCCAGTGGTGCTGCAAAACGCACGAAAACTATAAGACTAAGCTGCCTCACAGATGACAAGTGGTATCATGCTGAGGCTGCCTTCCCTGAGAGGGAGTACGTTAAAAGCATAAGTTATTATATTTTCTTCGCAGACACGTCAAGAAGATGTAACGTCCAATGGTGTAGGGAGCTGAGAAGTATCAACCGCCCTCAACTCTATCTACACTCAAGTTCCTTAAGATTATTACCAACCTTCACTACTTCCTGATAGTAATCCTACATCATCTTTAATTTGTTCCCGCTCAACAGCCATTGAAATCGATCTGAGTTCACAGGACAGCATCTCTGGTATCCTGAAAACACTCGTCCAGACACGTTGGAGTTTCTAATGTGTACACTCTCCATCGAATCTAACAGCAAACTTCGCTAGCCAAAGCTCTAACCTCTCAGACCATGAATGTGTGCTGTTCGTAAAACACGTATAGGATACGAGTGTGGTTATTCAAGTAACCTCACCCAGCCAATATAGTGGACTCACAAAGTTCGTCCTCCAAGTTCCTGGGGATTCAATGGCTAGTCCTCACAGGTGTAGGTATAGCATTAAGTACCACGGTAGAAAGTTCACTATTTGACTGGATTCCAGTTGACAGCTGTCTGTGCGCTGTTTGACTGAGCGGTGCAGTGAGAACCTAAAACTCGCTTTCGTCTCTTTGCAACTTCTGTTTATGCAACCAACTCACTAAGGTGAACGATGAGTTCTCGTAGCAGGTGATTTCAACGAACAAGTGAGTAGGCTAAGTTAGATACAAGGACACTTGGGTCATACTTTCACCCACTTACATTTCGCTGCAGAAACAGCGTAAGTGATCAAACAGGCTAGTGGATTTCAGTAGCTTCTGGTGCACATGCAGACTTCAAGCATAAGAAGGGGCGAAAGCAACTGAGATGTAGACCTATCGAGCAAACTGGGCAAAGGGCACTGGGATAGACCCTGGAACTCGCAATGAAGTTGTAAAGGCTGTGAATTATCTGAAACGAGGAAGAGCAGCAACGCTAAATAGGCTAGTACTGGAGGTATTTAAGGACGGTGGTCGTAGATTGTTGTCCACGTTCATTGAAGTGTTAGGTAGTTAGTGTACGGTAATCAGACATGAACCTGTCCGACTGGTCCCAATCACCAAATTTCTTAGTTTTCAAAAAGGAGGTAATCACACGGGAATCAGTCTGATGAATAAGATTCTAGGTCCTATAGTCAGTAGACATCTAAGTGAAACTCAGGAACAAAAAAACGAGGAAACCAGACAGGTTTCAGGGCAGATATTCACCGTACGCCAGGTTTTTGGAGTACAAGCACACTTACCATTGTCTGATACCAACCTTACTTCTTAACCGGAAAGGCGCATCTTCGACCAAGAGATCTTGTGGCAGTCTCACTGGAAAACGAGTGCCAGGTAAGTACATCACTCTAATGGGGGCTCTGTACTCGAACACCCGTGAGCGTGTTAGAAGCTATGGTGAGTTGTATACATCGAGCATTGCCGATCAAGGATGTCTACTCTCTCCATATTATGATATTGTTATAAATGTGCATACAGAGTTCCCCCTCTCGTCGTTTGATGTTGCAGGTATTCGGCAGGCCATAGGAGACTGCTTGGTGGTTTTTGAGTAGGTAGTTGGCATACTGCTTTTAGGTGAAGACACTTATGTGGTGCAGAGTCAAGTGGAAATTTTGAGTGACACTTCGAGAATGGTAGAGATGCGTTTTGCAGCATCCAACTGTAAATTGTTGTTTCAGTACTTGTCTGCGTTGGTGATTCGTCGAGGGAAAGAAAGTGAAGCTACTGAGCACGTTCACTACTTCGATTTACTGGAAAGTCTGATCAGCCCTGATGGGTCAGTGACCGATGAAATTTCTGCACGTCTACAGAACCTTAGCTTGACTTTCACCAGCTCACTGCATTTATGGCTCTGTTGTGATATCCGATTGCCTATTAGGAGCTGAGTGCACTACACTACAGTTCGCTCTGTATTGCTTTATAACTGTGTAACATGGTCACTAAATGTAGAGTACATGATGAAGCTTCAGCCACCGTTAGCTTCGTAGAGTAGCCCGTGTGATGTGGTTTCAGAACATCGGGCGTATAGCTATGGACCGAGGAGAAAAGTCGATTGATGAGGTTGTAAGCCTTCATCAACTGTGTATGTATGTTCAGTCACCATTTTCGTCGTGTCACAATGTTAGCTGAAGTAAGTTTAGCCTGGAAAAGGGTTAGATGCAGCCAGACTAAAATCAGCTCATGAATTATTGGACCGTGTAAGGAAATGTAGAGTTCCTGGGTGCGGTCTGGGTGACAATTGATACCGGTAGTTGGAAGGTCTAGGTGATATGGCTCAGAATCGATTTGAATGGTACAGATGCATCAATGTAGAGTCGTTATCTTAATCGTCATACCGGATTTCAGTATTGCCTCATTTATTCTCGTCCTCTTTTTATGATTTTCAACCACTTTTAACTGTTTTCTTTATCATTCCTTTATCTCGCATCTCGATGCAATCTCACTAGACGTGGTGATATGCAGTGTAACACTTGGAACCGTTATACAATAATGCTAGGTCCCTTGTTGATATTATCCATCTCTATCTCGATGTTTAACGCTTCGATGCTGTCATTTCAGTTCTACATTTGTAAAACCTAGTCTTTTCAATCTGAAGGCATTCAATGACCTTGATCATCTGATCACCATAGCATTACTGATATTCTGTAGAAACATGATATGAATAATTCTGAGATCTGGTGGTACATGTTCACGTATGATCAAGATAATCCAGAATCACTTTTATAGCATAAAAGTGTATTGTGAATTACATCAAAGCGGTTTCCATGCCGTTCACTTTTTAACAACCCTAGAACTGGATGGTAGAAGCGGAAACATGATCAATGTGTATTACCAGATCATGCCATTAAGAATAGTTGGGTTGACACTTATTGGTGCATGACGACCCCTCGATTGGAGTACAACCGTTCTCAGTGGTCCTAGAAACTAACAGATACAGATCATAATTGAAACTGGTAGAGACCATGCTAAGGCCTACCCACTTCTCCTGTCATAGAAATGTAAAACGAAACTGATAGACACTTTTTTGATTATCCATTCACTTTTTTGTTTCCGTTATTTTTTTATGCCATATGTAGCAATTCTTGCTTTTATAATTTTGTATATGATATCTCTTTTGGTGCCTAGTTTGTGTGTAAAGTAGAATAAAGATTGAAGTATTTTAAATAAGCGCAGTTTTAGTTGACTTCATCACGTAGCTTATACATTCCAATCCATACTAAGAAAGTAATTAGGTGAAAGAAAACTGATTCCTCGGTTATGCTAATAGTCTATTATTAGAGACACTTCTGTTGGATTATGAAAGGTTGGACATACATCCTATGGTTTTGGATCACTACCAATCACTGATGACTGATCTAAACCATCATCGTGCATCACTTATTTGTTTAAGAACATGTTAAGGCTAAGAGATAAGACAGTTGGTGCGGTTTTGAACCTTCATCGACTGAGATGACTGGGAAATGTGTTACATATGCCTAACCACCGATTGCCTCGTCATGCAATATTGGACAAAGTAGGTTCAGGCTAGAAAAAGGCTCGGAGTGGCCGGACTAAAACATGACATCAATGCATGAAGACCTTGACTGTTCGTTCGAACCATAAAAGGAGATCCAGACTAGCTGGTTGGGGTCTGCGGGACAAGAGGAACCAGTGGCTTTTTGGAGACTCTAGGTCATATGGCTTAGAACCTATGTCAGTGACAGTGACGCAGATGCATACATACATTATCGTCACCTTAACCGCTATACTTAATCTCATCATCTTATTCTCGCTTCCTCTCCTTTACTACTTTCTACTTCTTCCGACCGGTTTTTTCTTTCTCCATCTTCCATTTTTTCTTTTGTTACTTCATGTGATGATATGAGGTTTGTCAACTTAGACCGTTACGCAGTAACGCCTGGGTCCTGTGTTGATCTTGATGATGATGACCTCTGTTAGACAGCTGACAGTTTTACTACCTTCAATATTAACAGG